ACAACCTCAATCATCAACTCACATAGAATCAAATCAGTCTCTACCTAAGCGTCCCTCATCCACGGTCGTCCGTTGCTCTGCACCTGGCCACTCAATGATTACCCGCTTGAAAGATGGTACTATATCTCACCAGACTCTCAACCATCAACATACCTACGCCTTAACAGTCTCAGCTTACCCATACACAAAGTCCTCATGTTACACTCAAGCTTCTCGTGACCCCAAGTGTCGTGTTGCTATGGCTACAAAATATACAGCCTTGATAAAAAATGGGACATGGGACCTCGTACCTCCTCCATCACATGCTCGACCAATAGGATGCAAATGGGTGTATAAAGTAAAACTGAATGCAGACGGCTCTCTCGAACTGTACAAAGCCCGACTAGTAGTCAAAGGTTTCCATCAGCATCCAAGTATTAACTACACAAAAACCTTCAGTCCAATGGCCAAACCAGTCACCATTCGCACTGTCCTAGCCCTCGTTTATTCACAAGGATGGTTAATTCACTAGCTTGATGTTTCAAATGCTTTTCTACATGGCTATCTAAACGAAGGAAGTTTACATGGTACAACCTCAGGGGTTTATAGATGCAACATGCCCCCATCATGTGTGTCGTCTTCGACGATCACTTTATGGGCTCAAGCAATCTCCTAAAGCCTAGTCTCAAAGACTCAGTTCATATCTTACAAGCCTTGGGTTCAAAATTTCTGGTGTAGACTCCTCACTATTCATCTTTCGCACTATTGAATACACTATCATCATTCTAGTCTATGTAGATGACATCATTCTCACCGAATCCCCTACAACATCATTTTCTAGTCTACTACAATCACTTAAACGAGAGTTCACTATCAAAGATCTAGGTCCTATCCATTATTTTCTTGGAATAGAAGTTCAGCCCACCTGTGATGGATTTCTCCTACATCAAGCAAAATTCACTCATGAGATTCTAGTTCGTGCAAAGATGACAAATGCTCAAGCTATTTCCACCCCCTGCACCACGGATAAGCCTCTTTCTGTTCGACATGGTGAGCCACTTCCAGATCTTGTTCTTTATCGGAGCATAGTTGGTGCACTCCAATACTTAACACTAACTCAGCCAGACATTGCATACTCTATTAACACTACTTGTCAATTTCTCCATGCACCTACTACTTCACATTGGCAGTTTGTCAGGCGCATTCTACGCTACCTGGCTAACACTCCTCGCCTTGGTCTACGTCTTACTCGAAGTCCATCAACTGCTTTGCACGCCTTTTCTGATGCTAGTTGGGCAGGTGATCGTGATGACCGTAGATCGATTGGTGGTTACTATGTTTTTCTCGATCACAACCTTATCTCTTGGTGTTCCAAAAAACAACGCATAGTTGCTCGCTCAAGCATAAAGGCCGAGTACAAGTACCTCACTGACACCACAGCTGAACTCATGTGGATTTAATATCTCCTGGTATGACAACCTCTCGACATTATACGTCACGACAAATCCAGTTTTCCATGCTCAGACCAAGCACATCGAGATTGACTATCATTTCATTTGAGAACGTCTAGCATGAGGACAACTCTCTGTTCACTTCATCTCTTTAGCTGATCAGCCAGCAGATATCTTTACTAAAGGTCTCTCATCTACACGATTCAAGTTGTTAAGGTCCAAGCTGACAGTTTGTTCCGCACCGTCAACTTGTGGGGGGATGTTGACTGAGCTCAAAACTACCTTAAATGGAAGTGCAAATTTCTCTCCCTAGAATCAGAAGACTAGTTCAGCAGATTAATTCAAACCTGCAATCTGCATCCCACAATATCTGCAACTTTGATTATACAAGATTACATTCTAAAGTGTATATAAACACACTTATAATTAACATGTAAAGCAAGGGGAAAATCATTAATACATTCATATTTCTCCGTGAATCTAATTTCCGTCTCTTTTTCCTTCATTCATCTTTCATTCTGAATTTGTGTTTCCTTCTTTAGTTGTTTATTTTCTTTAATCGATCCTTTGTTCAAACTAATACATCATATATTTGACTTATTTAGTGCTTTGTATTATTGCTACCAAGAAATATAAATCATAAAATTCTAAAGAAAAATATTAGTGGTTCTCGTCATGATAAATAACACTTAAAACTCTTTTACCGATAAAAATCTTTCTTTTATTATTATTATTTAATTGTCATTAATTGAATTCCTCATGTTGCCATGGCAGGTTATTATTCTTTTTTGGATTGATTTTGGGGTTGGCCGAAGGGTACTACTGCTTTATATGTAACACAATGGCTATAAACTTTTTGATGATAAAAGTCTCAATTTTATAATTGTTTATTATTAGTCTTAATTATGTATGCTTAGTGGATTAACTAATAAGTCTAAGTCTGACAGCTCAAGTCTTAAAATTTGAAATTTATTTAGATTACATGCTTGTATCTCCAAAATGTTTAAAGTATTTTTCATTGTTTTAAAACCCGGCCAGGCCATGCCGGTTGAACCGGGACCCGGCTAGTGAGCCGGCCGAGTGAGGCTCAAAACCGCTTGTATCAGTCTGCCCGCTTACACCCACGATTGGACCGGTGCACTGTAGTACCCGCCAATCCAACCGTTATTTTTAAAAAAACTGGGTCAGCTAATTTATAAAATTAAAAATTTTAAATTAAACTCTAAATTCTAAAACAGTAAAAGCCCCCTATCCCAAAGCAAATATCAACAACCCCCCCCCTTTCTATTTTCACGGCATTTCCCACACTTTGGTCTGAAAGTCGTTTGAAACTGAAAATCTGAAATCTTCATTCTTCCATCGGAGTCTCCCCTTCACCGTCGAATCTCGTTGCTTCAGCCTTCACCGTCAACTGCTTACTTCATTGTCAGTTAGGGTACCACGTATCTCCTCCCATTTCGCAATCTTCTTTGTCCTCTCACACTCTTCTTCACCATCGATCTACGTTGCTCATCCATCGTCGTCAATCTTCTCAGAGCTACACAGTCGATCTCGTCTTCTTCTTGCCCAGGAACTATCGCGTCTTCCCCTCACATTGCTTGAATCTCAGCTTTTCATAGTTGCACTATTCACAACCGAGCTGCACCTCTCCGACGGTCAACTCAATTGTCAACGACAACTCATCTTCACTAGCACCAGGTAACTGTCACGGTATTACCTTACTGATGTACATTCCACTATTCCCAGAAAATGTCCATAGCGAGAAATCAACAAATCTAAATTTTGTGGCATTGTGATTTTGTAGACAATCAATGATGTTATGCTGGAAGTGACTCAAGCAGGGTTGTCTTGATATCTTAATAAAAAATATGTTGAGCTATATATAATTAATTAATATATAAAATTATGTTATTGAAGTTTGATGATGAATGATATGAGTTTGTATAATTTAAATTCTTGCTTCTTTCCATAGTCGGATCCCATTCATGCATTTTTGAAATATTATTATAACTTATAAATTAGCTTAGACATATCCACAATGAAACATTGCAGGGGAGAGTAATAAGATTGATAAGGGATCGTCAGAAAGAAGTAACAATCTTCCAAAGAGTATTCGTCTTAGAGCAACCTTCTTCATGAACCTTAGGCCAATTCCAAGGATTCAAGTGAGTGTCCAATACCAGTTCATATTCAATGATTTATGTTATGTTTTTTGACAGGAAAAGCAAATATTAATTTATACAAATCTAAATTCATTTATTACAAGATGCCATAATTATCTAATCCATTGACAATAACAAAAGTGTATCAATTAGCTGGTATTTAATTAAACATTTCTCTTAATAAAGCTGCGTGCTCTATCTAATCCTCAATGAGAGTTAAGACAGCTAAAGAGGGAACCATTCTGAAGCAAAGCCAGCGGGATTGATTATTCAGCCTCAGGTTCTTTTCTAAACAAACCACCAACTTTTTCCCCTATAATATTCTCCCTATACCATCAAACTCCACTATCTACTCTATGCACAATCAAGTCAAAACTCAAAACCCTCTTCGCCCCACTTGTACCTAGTATTAAGGTCAACTACAAATTTCTTATGCTAAATTTCAAACTCTTGTTACTGTCATGAAAATATTTATCAAAATAACAAACCGAGTTGTTTTAAATAATTTAAAGTGCAATGGTGGCTATATCTCAATGTCAGGGTCAAATTAAACTACCCAAACCAAACCTTAAAGTTCTAGAAGCGATGGGTGACTCAATGATTATGTAGTAATAAGGGTTAATTACTAATGATGTATATTTACAATGCATGAGTATTTGGTTGATTGAGGTTAATTGCCACAATGCGTGATTATGTAGTAACAAGGGTTAATTATTAATAATGCATATTTACAATGCATGAGTATTTGGTTGATTGAGGTTAATTGCCACAATGCATGATTATGTAGTAATAAGGGTTAATTATTAATTATTACTAACTTATTTGCTATTTGTATCACTAGGTTAGAGATCAACATTAAAGACAAAGAATATGTCATCATTTGGGTCTTGTCAACAATCTAATTCCATGGATGTTTCACAAACTTTTTCGAGGAAGAAATGATATAGCATGGGGACATGTTAATGAGAGCGTGGATGAAAATGGGAAGAAGATATTAACATGTACTTACTATGGCAAGATAATCAGAGGTGGAGGAATTTATCGAGTGAAACTGCATCTTGCGAGTATAAAGGGAGAAGTTGGAAAGTGCTCTAAAGTTCATTTCAATGTTAAATTCAAGATTGAAGAAGCACTAAATGAAATTGGGGCCAAGAATAAACAAAAAGTTGAACTTCGTAAGAATGTCAATCCTTATAGAGCTAGTGTACAACAATTTGAGGATGATATGTTAGATGAAGATCAAGAGTGTGAAGAGGTTTCTCCATGTCCAGCTCTAACTTCAACTTCAAGCAGTAAGAGAAAAAGATATATTGGGATAGGTGACTATTTTGCTCCGAGGACTAAGCCTAGGTCTCAGCCCTCAATTAAGAGTGTTTTAGCCGAAAAAGAAGCTAAGTAGAGAGCGGACATGGCTGTTGCAAGGTTATTTTATGATTCTTACATCCCAATTAATGTTATTAATTCAATTTATTTTCAACCTATGGTGGATGCTATAACTGCAATTTGTCCTGGGTATAAAATCCCAACATATAATAATTTGTGTGTAAATTTATTGAGGGATGCTAGGAAAGAAGTGCAGTTACTTGTTGATGGTTACAAGAAAACTTGGGAAGATGTTGGATGTACTTTAATGACTGATGGTTGGACAGATAATTCACATAGGTCGCTGATTAATTTTCTAGTGTACTGTCCTAAAGGAGTGTGTTTTGTGAAATCAGTGGATGCTTCAGATGTTGTAAAAGATGCTACAACATTGTTCAACTTGTTTGAGGAAATAGCTTTATGGGTCGGACCAAACAATATTGTCCATCTTGTCACTGACAATGGAGCAAATTATAAAGCTGCTAGAAGAATGTTGTCTGAAAAATATAGCAGCATTACTTGGTCTCCTTGTGTAGCACATTGCATTAATTTGATGTTGAAAGACATAGCTAAGATGAGTCACATAGTTAACCTTTCGAAACGTGCATCTGAGGTTACAAAGTTTGTGTATAATCATTCCTTTGTGCTAGCTTTGCTAAGGAAAAAACAGGTTATATACCTTTACCTCATATGTTTATAATTTACATTGTCAAATCATATTATATATGTACATTTTTTAATAATTTACTAAGTACTAACATCTATTGTCTATCACTTGAATAGGGTTGGACAGAAATTATATGCCCAAGTGTAACCCGTTTTGCCACAACCTTCATTGCATTGAGCAGCCTATATCAGTACAAACATGACTTGCAATCTACAATGACAAATATAACTTTTGTGGAGTCTCGATATGCAAAAACTAATAAAGGCAAAGCCTTTATTTCCATAGTTCTAGATAACTGATTCTGGGATGACATTAGTATAATTACCAAAGTTGTGAGTCCACTGATGCGTATGCTCCGAATTGTAGACTCAGATGAGAGGCCTTCAATAGGATATGTGTATGATGGCATGTACAGAACGAGGATGGAGATCAAGAAGCTGTTTAAGAATAAGAAAAGTTTGTATAAGCCTTATACAACAATTATTAAGATGCGTTGGGATAGGATGTTGCGTCGTGATATCCATGCAACAGCATATTATTTGAATCCTGCTTTTAAATATGACGGTGATACTTTTTCCAAAAAACCTGAGGTCATGTATGGTTTCTTTGACACTATTGAAAATAAAGTAAGTGCATTCAAAATGAGCAAGACAACGTTACTGGAGCAGAGTAGATTATATCGAGACCGTCTAGAAAGCTTTTCTCGTGAGCTTGCTCTTCAAACTTGTAAAACTACATGGCCAGGTATGTAATAGTTATTAAATATTAACTTTTTAAGTCTAATTTTTAAGTTATGAAATTGTGTTTATTTCTTACGCAATTTATACTTTATTCTCAATTAGATGAATAGTGGAGGGCATTTGGGTTTAGTGCTCCAAATTTGCAAAAGTTTGCAATCAAAATTCTAAGTCAAACTTCGGCCTCTTCTGGATGTGAGCAAAATTGGAGTGTTTTTGAATGCATACATACTAAAAAGAGGAACAGATTGGAGTATCCACAATTGAATGATTTGGTTTTCACTCATTATAACTTACGTTTGCAAAATAGGTATAAAGCCTTCTTCATTTTGTTATTCTTATTGATGTCTTTATTGGTAATGATTTGAACATTTAATTCTGTTATTTCAGGAGTCGTTACAAGAAAATTACTTATAATCTTGTTGATTATGAGAGTATTGATAAAACTGAATGGTGGATGGTTGATGAGGAAGAGGAGGTTGGTGAGCTTAATTATGATGAATTGGAACAATCATTATATGGAGAAGGAGTTATTCCTATAGATGGTGGTGATCACCCTTCTTATTATGACTCAACTGATGCTTCAGAAGGTTGTTTTCAATTTTTTAAGCAATTTCAATTTGGTAATAGCTACTTTATATTCAATTAGTTTTAATGAGAAGATTTAACTTATGGTTTTCCTTTTTTGCTAAATTTTTTTGTAGATGATATTGCCGATGTTACTAATGATGACGATCATCTATGGGATGATGTGTGAATTGTGAATTTTAATTGAGGATGGAATGATGGATTGAAGACCATTGGGTGAAAATGATTTTTTGTTAGAATATTGAAGTGTTGAAAGAAGTTAAAAACTATTATATTATGTGATTTCTTGAATTTCTTCCTTTATTTTGTTATTTTGATTTGTAATTTGTTGTATTATTGATGTAATGGTGTTTGATGATGCTTTGCTAAGGTCTTTTTATTCAGGAGTTTATGATTTGGATTCAAATTTTGCAACTTTGCATTCTATGAATAGTAACGTGCTGACGTCATCATGCTAACGTTAACATGATGACATTACCGGTTGAACTAGCTGGTTCAACTGGTTAAACCAATCGACCTGGGACCCGGCCAGCTTGCCAGGTTTTGTCCCAGGTTGGTTTTTAAAACATTGGTATTTTTAATAAGTTATTTCTACAACTTACAGAAGAAGTTCAAACCCATAAACTCTTTTTGAACTTATTTAAAGTGTTCAAATTCCAAAAGTACCCTTTATCTATTTTATAATTTTGATTTGATTTATTTTTGTATGAGTACATTGATTTTAACCAAATAATTAACAAATTTTTCATAAAAACATATTTTCATAAGTTTCACTCTTAACAAACTTTGCTGAAAGAAGTCATACTAAACAAACCCACCTTCCAAATTTTTGAAATAAAAAGTGTTAATCGATTCTATCAAAGTATAAACCTTTCCAAAAACAATTTTTTAGGAGAGATTCCTGTTGAAATGACAAATCTTAAAGCATTGCAATCATTGAATTTGTCATACAATTCTCTTATTGGAAGAATTTTTGAAACCATTGGTGCTATGACATCTATAGAATCCATTGACTTCTATGGAAATCAACTTCTGGTGAAATACCCTCAAGTATTTCAAACTTGCTTATTTGAGTCACTTGAACTTATGAAGAAGAAAGAGAAGATGGAAATGAACATGAAGTCAAATGGTTTTATTGATTTTTTTTTTCTTGGCTTATAGTTCACTTCTTGCAAGGATACTTAACTAACTATTTGTCAACCTGCGAAATTTTGGGGTATATTTGATCCTATTATCTTATTGGGGGCAAGAGAACTAGAATCATTTTGTTCTATTTTGTTTTAGTGAGAAGACAATGAAGGTAATTATATATGATAATGATTTATCATTCAGAATTTAATAAATTTACATTTGTTTCAATCATTGGTAATTTAGTTGAGATCATTCATTGAATACAAGGAATTTGACTGTTGGTATTGTACATAAGATAGGCTATAAGAAAGGAAATTATATACGATTCTGATTTGAAATTTGAGGATTTTGTCATGTTGGTAGTTGAGATTATGTAAATATTTAAAATATGGTGAAACTAACTAGTTTTACAAACATTCTAATTAATATATCAGAGGTGAATGGCCATGAAACCAACCATGAGCATTATTGTTCTTTTTCTTGAGTTACTCACCTTAGCAACCATCAATATTAGCTTACGCAACAAAGAGCTGCCATGAAAGTGAGAGGCAATCACTTTTATGATTCAAGCAGGATCTCAAAGATCCGTCAAACCAGCTTGTCTCCTGGAGTGGTAATAGAGAATGATGTGCATGGCTTAGAATGAGGAACAGTAGTGTCTCCAGTGTGATTTATCATCTCATTTTCTCCAATTATATGATTTAATTTAACATAATTTTGCTTTCTTATATAAATTATTCAGCTTTGTTCGAAATATTCTTCCTCGAATAATACTATACTTTAATAATATTTTATATATTAAGCGACATAAATAAATGAATGAGTAAATACAAGAAATAAACTCGAAAAATGAGGATGGATTAATATGATTAATAATAACTTTGAAATTTTAGGAACATATTTTTTTAGGGGCGTGTTTGGTTAGGGGTAATCCCCAATTACTGAGATAATGTATATTTTATTACTTGATCACCACATTTAGTTGTCAAGTAATATAAGATTCCGATAATCTTCTAAAACCAATAGTAGTTACTTCTGGTAATGTAGAATTACCTCAATTTTCTTAAGTATTTTAAGATTACTTGGTGATCTTATTTTTGTTACGAATTTATCCTTTATTAATAAATTTTTTGGACAATAATGCCCTTATTTTGAAATTAATTTTCATTAATCTGCCACTACAATTTTACCCCTATTTAATTAAGTTTATGGATAATAATACTCTCATATTTAAAACAAATTGTAGGCACCCAGGACCACCGTCGACAACTGGCAAACCATCGTCGATCGTCGTCTGAAATCGTTGAAAATGATCGTCATGCACTGATATGGCCGTTTCTAACCGTATTGATAGCCGAAAACGATAGGATGGCTTTAGATCTAGCAAAAAATGGCCAGATCTATTCTGACCGTTTTCAGCTAGATCTACGACTTTTGGCCGTTAACGACTAGACGGTCAGAGCTTTGGTCATTAACGATGGCCAGTTCTAGCTATAGATCTAGTCATTTCCAGCTAGATCCATGATGGATTTGACCAGAGATGGCCATATCGATGCACGACCGGTCAGATTCGACTGATCGTACGCCGTTACGGCCACATTTGACGTCGTTGGTGGTGGTGGCAAGCAACCGACAGTGGCTTGGGGTGTTTTTGTTAAGTTTTAAACTTTTTTTGGTAGTTTGGGTGTTTTAGCAATATGCCAAACATAGGGGGTTAAAAGAATTATTCAAAAAATAATAATAAAAATAATATTATATTAATATTTAAAGAGAATAATTTAGTAAATTACATAATATACCCACCAATTTATTTCAACCAACCAAACACATTTCCTTAAACATTCTCAATAATTTTCAAGGTAATATACATTTTCATTAATATAATATTCCCTATAATACAACATTATCTGAATCAAACACACACTAAAAGTAAATGATACTCTCAAGTGGAGGAAAGAAATTGATTAAGTCTCATCAAAATGTCAAGAGCTTATCTTTTTCAAGGAACAAGAGACACGTTTAGTTAAGGAAGCAAATGGGACATTTTTTGGTAAGTGTGAAAATAATATTTAAGAATATTTAAACGGTTTAATGATTCATTTTTTAAGTATTTAGCATTTATATTTAAATAATTAATTATACAATTAATTTGTCGAACCAAACAAACACACAACAGAATTAAATTTCATCCAATACAATTTCATTTTAATCCAATACGAAAAACCTAGTCTAGATTCTAAACTAGTGCATTGCACCGAACGCACCCCTAGTGTTTTATCATTTTAGATCGCTTAATTTGAAAAGTATTAAATCTCTCTTTAATAAAGGGTTTTAATAATTTTGTAAGGGGTGTTTGATATTTTTAGGAGTTTTTTTTTTTTTTTTCAATTTCTTTTTATAATCATATAGAGTATATAATACTTTTGAGTCAATGTTTTAATAACCAATCTGGGGTGAAACCCGGTAAAGTTGCCGGGTCTCAAGTTGATCGGGTGAAAAAAAGTTAACAAATATACCCCTAAAAATTAATTAAGTCCCTAAAGGTTTAAAATTTAGCACACCCCAAATACAAATCCGCGGTCGATTGGTTGGCAGTAACAACACGCCAAATGCAATCCAAATCATCCCTTGAGCCCATTCCCCAGAAAATCTACCCAAGATCCGATTTCGGCTAGATCTCACTTATACCAACGTCGACATTCCATGCTAGATCCCACCAACGCTAGCGTTGACAACCCTCCCCATCACACAAAAAATATGCCCCTCTACCTTCTGACCAAAACCCACCTCACCCCACCCCTGTTAGCCTTGCCAATCGTCAGCAAAAGTCGATTGTTGCCGCCACCTATTTTTTCGATTTTCGATCGATTCACTCATCGGAAATCAACTTCGTCGCCACCATTGCACTCACTGACATTTTTTCTTCAAAAGCTCTGACATCCCGACCTTCAATTGTTTGTCGATCATCATCCCAATTTCTAAAGTTTTTAGTAAATAATGAAACAGGTAATTTGGCCCGATGAAAGCCCTAGGTCCTGGTTCAACCGGATGGGTTTTAAAACAATGATATAGAGTATATAATACATTGAGTAATAGTACATATATAAACCATTCTCTACAAACTGATGTGGTAACTCTATATATTTGAAATACCAACTACTTTAATTTTTAAAATTATCTCTAAATTTAAATCACCAAATCACATTAAAACCAATGTTTTAAAACCTAGTCTAGCCCGATCGGTTTGATTGGTTAGATTGGGAACCGAGCCTTCACCGTTTCAGACATTCAGTAAACCCAGCTATGTCAATTAACCCGAAGTGACCCGTGATTGGACCGGCAAAACAGTAGCAAACTGTCGATCGAATTGGCCAGAGGCCTAAACCGGGTCATTAAAAGTGAAAACCCGAAAAAATATTTCAATCAACTCTTTCTTCGCTCTTCATTCTTCCATTTGAAGTCTTCATTCCATCTACAATCTTCATAATATCAATGATATTATTATGACAATTAATAATTATATTTACGTCCCTCATAATAACAGTGATAAACCAAAGTTATTAATTCGAGAGAAAATACATATTCTAGTTTTAAAGAACAAGTTCATACATGGATAAACTTCCTCTGAATCTTTTAATTGTTTGAATAATTTTTCTTAAAACCTACCTCGAGTATGTAGTTAAATATCTCAGAAAATAAACAATAAAGATTTCGAGAGAATGAACTTTTACAACCAAAAATATTATTAATTATTTTCTCTCCTTAGAATATACATAAATCTCTCTTTTATAGAGAGTTTTAGATTTCAAGATGACTTGAATTCGGGTACAAAGTTAAAACAAAAGTAAAAGATAAGCGGTCTAATAATAATTCGCCTAATAATACTAGGTCCACAACCTTCTCTTACAACCCCTAACGTGACAATTCGTCATTGGTTAGCTCACAAATGGGCAGACGGAACCCATTTTGCGAATTGACCAATGACGAGTTGCCACATCGAAGACTGGGCTGTGGACCTAGCATTAATATTTTTAAAACCCAACCTAAGGTGAAACCCAACAAAGTTACCGAGTCCTGGGTTGGCAGACAAAACTTTTAAAATTTAGCAAATACACCCCTAAAAATTATAGTTAAGTCCCTCTAGGTTTAAAATTTAGCAAACACACCCCAAATCCGGCAGCGACACCCTAAATGCAACCCCAATCGTCCCTTGAGCCCATTCCCTTGAAAATCTACCTAAGATCTGGTCGAAATAGGTTCAATTTCGACCAGATCTCATCGACGCCGACGTCGGTGTTCCAGGTCAGATCTCACCGATGTTGGCATTGACAACCCTCCCTATCACCCTAAAAATAATCTCATTTTCCTCCCGACCAAAACCTACCTAACCCTACCCCCGTTAGCCTCGCAAATCGCCGACAATAGCCAGTTGTTGTCACTACCTATTTTTTTGGATTTTCGGTCTATTCACTCACCGAAAATCAACTCCGTCACCACCGTTGCACTCACTACCACTTTATCTTTAAAAGCCCTAACATTCCAACCTTCAATTGTTTGCCGATCATCATCCCAAATTCCAAGGTTTTGGGTGAACAGGAAAAATCTAAATCCGACCCAGTGAAGCTTACAGGTCCTAATTAAACCAAGCTAGGTTTTAAAAAAGTGCCTAGCATTACTCTAATTCACCATTAAGGCTAAATAAATTAACATTGGAATCCACATGTCTCCCACGTGTTTTACATGATAATTAAAGTGATAGAATCGTTGAAGAATGTCGACAAAATCTTGAATGACCATGTCTTGAGTGTCAGCAAAATCTAGACTATTCCCCTGTTTTTCTGATTAAGATGTGGACTAAGGGATGATTTCTAAGTCCTAGTGTGGAAAATTATCTATTTTTCAGAATTTTGTATTTCTGCACCGGACATTTATTCTACCTATGTAGTTTTTAGATGTGGGAGTACATTGACTTGTTTCTAGAATATGCTGGATTTGAAACCGAGCTTGACATTGAGTTTCACAAAACTTTTGCAGTACTTCTTATATCAGTTGTTACGAGGGCTGAAATATGTACACTCAGCCAGTGTCCTGCACCGTGATCTTAAGCCAAGCAACTTGCTTCTCAATGCCAATTGTGACCTAAAAATTGGAGACTTTGGGTTGGCAAGGACGACATCTGAAACAGATTTTATGACTGAGTATGTTGTCACTCGTTGGTACCGAGCACCAGAGTTGCTCCTCAATTGTACAGAATACACTGCTGCAATTGATATATGGTCTGTTGGTTGCATACTTGGTGAAATTATGACCAGAGAACCTTTGTTTCCTGGGAAAGATTATGTCCATCAGCTCAGACTTATCACTGAGGTATGATTATGGGGGTTGGTAAGGTTTTTTTAAACTAAAGCTATGAAATTTCTTTGCTGCTGTTCTACACAATCTACAGTAGCTCATAATTACTGGTGAGTTATAACCTAAATCAAAAGGCACCACCCCAGTTTAGAAGTTGCTGAACCATTTCTAAGACTCTACACAAAAACACTCAAAAGAGACACATTTAAACACAGATAAAGACTCTGAAATAGTTCACTTTTGGTTACACTCTAGAGGGAATTCCCCTTTGGTAAGGTTTTGCACCTGTTAACACAAAATAACTTTAATTGCTGTTGAAGTATATAACTTTCTAGGTGAGGTGGAATGCCTGGGTGGACTTAGTTTTGATAGTCAGTTACAGATTATATCATACTGCCATTCTTGAATCCAAGACCAGACATCTTTGCTGATTCTTTAGGTCTCTTGTGCTTGTTATGGCTTATATTCGATTCTGGCAGAACCTTCCTAATCTATTCTTTTCATTCATGGAAGATATATATATTTATATATTGAATGCTGTCATTCTGGTAGTAAGAACAGAGTAAAATTCTTTTTCTTCTCAGTGTTCATGCTTATGACATCATCCCTGTGTTTTTTTTCTTCTTGTGTTAAAGTTAATAGGCTCACCTGATGACGCCAGCCTTGGATTTCTCCGAAGTGATAATGCCCGAAGATATGTTAGACAGCTTCCACAGTGCAGGAAGCAAAATTTCTCTACTAGATTTCCCAATAATTCTGCAGGGGCTGTTGATCTGCTAGAGAAGATGCTTGTCTTTGATCCCAACAAACGTATTACAGGTGCGAGGAAAGATACAGATTTCCAGCACATCATTTTTTTTTCCTCCCTGTCTAACCTATTAAAAGTTTTTCATATACTAATTCTTTTTCATCTGTTTGCAGTTGATGGGGCACTTTGTCACCCATATTTGGCGACTCTTCATGATATCAATGATGAGCCTGTCTGCCCCAGGCCTTTCAACTTTGATTTTGAGCATTCGTCATGTACTGAAGATCACATCAAGGAGCTCATCTGGAGGGAGTCGGTGAAGTTCAACCCAGACCCAACTTCTTAGGAGCATCCTTTGCTTGTGCTGTAGAAATTCATACAAAATAACCTCTTTTCCCCTAATACGATGGTCCATCACTCTTCCCTAGAGTGGATAGGAATAGGAACAGCATTGGAGTTTGTTTTCTTGTCCCTTAAGGCTGGAGTTAGGTAATGTGTAAGGAGCTGTACAATAACTTCTCTGAGGGTTGGGGATTTAAAAGTATGGTCAGGAGGACAATTGCATGTTAGTTTAGGTACTTAACAAATCTGCTAAAAGCTGCTTGAACTGAGTTTGATAAGAAACTGGCAGAAAACTTCTCTCCAAGTATTACTAGTTTGGAATTTTAGCACTTCAAGCAAATATTGTGGATATATTGTTCATGGATCTGACTTCTCTCTTATTAGAACCTTTTTGAGTTAATATAATGACCTGTTTGCCTGTATCTCTGTGTGGTTTGGATATCTACCATTATTTTGTTGTTTGCTTTTTCCAATGTAGTTTACTGACTTCCCAAGAAACAAAATGTGGTTGCAAGTGCTAAAACTGAGAAACATTCCATCCTTTATATGGATTTTAGATATTCAATTTTAATCAACTTTTTGCAGGTAGAAGTTTCCCTATGTTGACAGATCAATCTGTATCAAAACTACTTCTTGTAGTAACAAGTGCGTAATTTAAGGTTATCAATAGGCAACTATCTTCAGGAAAATTGCATTGTTTGATCTTCTCTGGCCCTTGATCCGGCAACATCTCACATGGTTTAGGAGTCACGCCACTTGAAATCCCTTCAACATCTGTACAGTCCCATTGTAGTTTCTTGGCTTTGCTGATAGTCCAATGTCGCATTAGATATACAATTTCAGAAAATTTGTCACCGGAATTCCCTCCAATTTAGCAGCCATTGTTACATTCTCAGCAACGATATCACGATAATTGATATTTTGAATCACAGGAAGTGCTTTAGGATCATATTTATTATCAGGATGATCACCGTAATTGCCTGTCATCCAAAATACCCATTTCATGGTTTTCAAGTCTCCCTCGGACGTATATGTCCTTTACAAAGCCTCCTCTCCTACAGCAGATTTGATTCTAACCCCAATTCAGAATGAATGGCTGTGATGTCTTCTGCCCTGACATCTTCAATCCACCAACATCTCACTACCCAGAGCAATCACCGCACTGAATGGAGAAATGCATGTTAGTCCCGGATAACAGCTGCTTTGTTGGCATCCCAAATGAAATTCCTACTCGTCCCAACCACTTTTAACTGCTACACAATCATCTCCGGAGACAATGTAACAATCCTCAATTCGGGTATTTGTGCAAGAATCTGAAACCAATGAAATGTTTTAACTCAGTGTTACTACAACTCTTTAAAGCGGTTATGGTACTTTCTTGATTCTCACCTGGATGTATGCCATCAGTGTTTGGAGATGTCACTGGTGCTAGGATTGTTATGCCTTGAACAATGACATTGCTGCAAAAATATGGATCAATATCTGTCTTACATTCTTTATTTCTCTTGTTTTTTCAACACAATCTTAGAAACAAGAATAAGCAAGCAAAAGAGAAACCTGCAATAAGTAGGGTGAATATTCCAGGATGGAGAGTTGATCAATGTGAGACTGGATATCTGAACATCTCAGAGTACAAGATTTCAATAAGGTAAGGCCGGGTATACTCCAGCTGTTTTGCACGGAATTTTGTCCACCAGGGTTCACCCGGACCATTAATAGTTCCATTGTCCCCTGAAAGGAAATAAAACTCCATTATCAACAATCCCAAGTACTTTTGGAAATTCAATTGTGATTATGCAGTGATCTGTACCTGTTATGACACATCAGTAAGGTTGGTTCCAAAAATTAGGCGCTATACCTTCCACCTTCAGCATTATCCCTTCCTCGACCATATGATGGCAAAGGTTCAATAGGGGCCATTCCCTTTCATCCTAATCCAATTGATAAATTGTCACAAATCATGAACAGAATTGAATAAAAATGTCAAGCAGATCATTTTCATCAATATCATAGCTCTTAAGGATGCTGAATATACGTCTCGAATCAACTATAATTAAGAAGTACAGCCATTCTAAGTGTGCCTAAGAGTTTTTACTGTTAGATACCAAAATTAAATTAAAAATCATCATATTGAACGCAGAAAAGTCCTTGAAAAGCATCTTCACCGCCACAATTGAATGCAGAAACGTTAAGACTAGGTAAGCTTGCTAGAATAACTGAAGATCATGGTAGTAATTACAATTAAGCCGTTTCACTTTAACGGCTTAAAACAGTGCTTTCCGGTTTCTATTAGATTTACTCAATCATTTTTCCTTGAAAATTATGGTATGTGTGATCCATCCAATTCCAACCTCCCCACAAAATGCGGGTGTCATATTAGACATCTAGTTAGATGAACTGTTTTCTTATGGGCTAAGACTTTGAAATGTTGTTTACTGACCTGAGAACCAAGAAGACCACGTCCTTGTGAAGATACAAAGTAAAATGGCTGGTGAATTGAAGCTTCCGGTCAACCACTTTCCGGAGAGATATAGATTTGGACCCGCCAACTGTTGCGAACTGGCTCAAATGGTCTATTGCAGCCTTAAAAGCCTTTGTGTTTGATGTAGTTCCATCACCAACTCCGCCAAAATCTTCCAACGAAGCACTGTGACTCTACAACTTATAGCCGGATACTGAAAGGACACCAAATCATGGGCCCTTTTTCTACTCTCAACTCCATTTGTGTTCAACAAAACAAGTACACCCGAGTAATCCGATGATATTAAGTACCTGGAAAGAGATTGTGTGGACTGAATTATAAAAGATTTTTTGTTTCTTTAAAAGAGCAGTGAGACATGAATCAACCAACAAAAGAAATGCAAGACACCAGACTGAATTTTAAACCAGGATGTTAAGAAGCCAGAGGTAAGGTAGGCAAAGACTAAAGTAGAAGAATTTACCTGAGTTCTTCTGAGACTTGTCCATAATTCATCCATTGGACAAAAGTGGGGTGGATTGATGTACTTGTAAATTAAAGAGTCCAAAGACGGAGTCTTTGTTTCAGTATATATAGAGAGGGATGTGGTTGTAACGCCAAAAATTCTATTATATTCCAACCGTAGTCAGGTCAGTTTCCCGTTTTTAATTCTAAGCAAAAGGAAAGTAAGAAGAATATGCAGATATCATGTAGACACTATTAGATAATACTCATTAAGAAATTTCTTATTATGTAGTAGATTATGGTTAATTGACATATATAGTTTATAAAAGTTCAAATTCCTTAGCAAAAAGTTGGAAGTTATGATACATTGGATATACCAGTAGCCACCCACCCCACTATTCTGTTTTTATGGGATATACCTAACAAACTGCAAGTAGTTTTATAATTACACCTTCACCACGTGGCAAATGGTTTCTTACAAGCCATGGTTTATGAATATGCATTTGTTTTCATTTCTGCCAACCAATAATAATGACTAACGTTATTAGAATGGTTGTTAGAACTCTTGAATATATTACTTAAGATTCTATATTTGATCTCTCTTCTATTATAATAAAGATAACTACTAAAACTATTATTCGATGGTTCCAAGGTCCTATGAGTGAGATTAGTTGAAGTGCGAGTTCATCAATCTATAGTTCTGTCAGTAGAATGCAAATGGCCTTTTTTCTTATTTTCAAGGTTGGTTTTATTTTAAACAGCAATTAATTTTCAACAGAGTTGGTAAGACAAACTACATGCGAGTTTCATTCTACAGTGTCTCTCTCATTAAAAATGGTTGAAATGAATTGATGTGGTCCGCATATCACGTAACTCGTCAGCTTCTGTTTTCCATTAGCATCTCGTGACAAACTCACACCTACAGTGGCCAGCCCTTCTTCACGGACCAAAGTATCAACCTACCGTCATCTAAATTAGTTAATCTTTGAAGTTGAAGTGCATTCAAGCTCATAATTCTGGTTAGCCATGTGTGTAAGCAGGTAGTCCCACATAATATCTTCCATTGAAGATAATAGGTTCCCGTAATTACTCCTATATTGAGATGTACATTAAGGAAAATATCCAGAAATCAATTAGCAACTAACACCCTATAGGATTCCAAACATTAGTATATCATGGACTTCTCACAATGTGGGTCTCCATTTAAATAAACTAATCCATAGGAATCATTCTGGGACAACATTGGGAAAACAAGAGTATTTTAATTCCTAGTTTCTTTCGTGATAGTGACTTTGTGGGTCTGCAGTAAGTAAAAATTGTTTTCTTGGTGCATGACTCGACTCCCACTTCTGCCTTCTGGTTCTGGTATTGGCTATAGTGGCCTTTTAAAATACTAGATTTTGTCGTTTGTACTGAGCTACCATTACCTATCTTTATTGTACTTTTATTGTTTTCTTCTGAAGAAATGAATAAAATCTTGGAAATGGATAAAAAACTAACTTCAGTGTGTAGTAGCATGTGAGGTTCTGCTTCATTTCTCCCAAGTTGCAATCCTGCTTGTCATCACAAGGATTACTGCACTGCTTGTTACAGGATCCAGATAAAATTATTATTAACCAAGCATTTGAAAATAACAATTTGACATGCTTTAACTTCCAAGGCAGAAGCAAAAATAAGCTCTAACAAACCTTAAAGGGTTGACCACAGTCAAAGGTTTTTTTTCTTTATTGAGTTTCTGTGTTCAAACCTCGGACTACATACAAAGAACCTTTTAGCTTACCTGGTCCTTTGTACTTATAGAGTTTTCAATAAACCTCATAGATTAGTTGAGATTAGAGGTGGAACAAAGGGTCGGGTTAGCGGGTCACCCCTAACCCAATCCGCAATGAAGAGGGTTGAACCCGGACTGCCAATAAGGCGGCCGGGTTGAACCCAACCCGGCAGCAACCCCCAGCGGGCCGGGTTGCAAAATGGCAATCTGCCAACCCGCGGTTGTTGCTGTTTTGTCCTTTCTAAAGAAGGACCGCCACCCGCGAGCTGGCTGTTGTCAACCGCGGGTTGGATGTTATACACCAACGCCAACTCGTCGGGTTGACCCGCGGTTGGCCGAAAAAATAAAAAAAATAGAAATTTTTATTTGTTTTTTCAAATTACCTATTTACCCTTGAAATATAGCCGTTTTATAGCTATGGAGGGTCTTTTTCGTTATTTTCTTTTCCCATTTTTTTTCTATAAATAGCCCTAAACTCTCACATTTTTCTCACAACTCAAATTCTCTCATTCTCCATATTTTCTAATCTCTAATCTCCAATTATTCATTTATTCTCTTAATCTCTTTGTTAT